CTTGCGTTTGGTTAAATTTATTTTTATTTGTATGTTTACATCAATGATAGCTCATATATAAATAAAAAATAAAAAAAACTTGAAGAGGACATTAAAACTTTCGGCACTTTCCAAATGAGAGAGAGTAATTTGTTTGCTCTTGGCAGTTTTTTTTGCTCTGCATATAACAAACAGAGGGTTCTCCATTAGTCAGTCTAGTGGACTCGAGTTGTGACAAATGGTAGGACGTGTCGGGGCGCAGCAGGAATGTGCGTGAGTTTGATCTGGGCCAGTCAGTCTCGGTCGATACCGGACGACGGGTGATGGATGAGCGCAGCCGATAATAACAATAATTACATTGTGCGGCCGCGCGGCATTTGAATATTAACGGCGCGAGAATAAATTAGCCCGGCAGTTTGTTTTGATTGCGCACCGCGCGTTGATTAATGCCGAAAATAACGTGCAACAGACGTGTATGCCATTTCGCACACGTCTCGCCCTTTCATGACGCCGCCGCCGAAATGTAATGATGGAAGCACCTGTCCGCGCCTAATTAAGACACACACTCACCATTGTTGCAACAATCAGGGTATTACACTATTAAAGGAGTGCTGACCCCTCGCTTTGACTTTAATTCCTGATTCAATTAAGAGTCCTGATTAAAACCTGAAAAGGGCGGCCGAAAATTCGGCGTTTTCGTTGAGAAATCTCAAAATGAAATTGGGCTGATTGGACTTTTTTTGCGCTTGGTCGCCATCTTGGTCCAACAATCAAAAATGTGAAATTGTTGTTTGCAATTTGGATGGCCGTGACCTGAGCCACGTTAGGTCAAGAAAATACAATGAAAAATAATTGCAAATGAATAAAATTTTGTGAAATCAAAGCTAAAGAGTTGCTTGAAATGACCCTTTAATTGAAATTATTAAATTATTTAGCACACATGAGATATAAAAGGGTTTGCTAAAAGTACTGCCATTTGAAAACTAATTTTTTTAGAAGCAAAATCTTAATGGGAAATTTGTAGCAAATAAAACGCTCCTTCTTTTTGTAACAGTACAAAGTACTGCACAAATTTTTCTTATTTAAGAAAAAATGATAAATCCAAAAAAAATTACATTTTAGGTTAAAGGAAATTTTTTAAGATTTTTTTTCGAAATAGCCAATCGATTCAGCATGTCTTTTTTAGTCAAGATCTAAATTTTCGCTAATAAATTCAAGACAGTTAAAAAGTAACATTAAAATATTCAATGACAACTATTTCATCTTAAAACAGGGCACGACCCGTTTGAAATTTTTTGATGTTACTTTTTAACTGTCATGAATTTATTAGCGAAAATTTAGACCCTGACTAAAAAAGACATGCTGAATCGATTGGCTATTTCGAAAAAAAATCTTAAAAAATTTCCTTTAACCTAAAATGTAATTTTTTTTGGATTTATCATTTTTTCTTAAATAAGAAAAATTTGTGCAGTACTTTGTACTGTTACAAAAAGAAGGAGCGTTTTATTTGCTACAAATTTCCCATTAAGATTTTGCTTCTAAAAAAATTAGTTTTCAAATGGCAGTACTTTTAGCAAACCCTTTTATATCTCATGTGTGCTAAATAATTTAATAATTTCAATTAAAGGGTCATTTCAAGCAACTCTTTAGCTTTGATTTCACAAAATTTTATTCATTTGCAATTATTTTTCATTGTATTTTCTTGACCTAACGTGGCTCAGGTCACGGCCATCCAAATTGCAAACAACAATTTCACATTTTTGATTGTTGGACCAAGATGGCGACCAAGCGCAAAAAAAGTCCAATCAGCCCAATTTCATTTTGAGATTTCTCAACGAAAACGCCGAATTTTCGGCCGCCCTTTTCAGGTTTTAATCAGGACCCTTAATAGAATCAGGAATTAAAGTCAAAGCGAGGGGTCAGCACTCCTTTAAATGCATTATGACGGCTACGCCATCGCAGTAATATCGCGGGTCACGAAGGAGACCATCAGCACTAGCAAATTAGTCAGACGGGTTCGTGATCCTATGATATATTTTGTGGCGTGTTCCATATTAATTTATAAATTAATTGAGTAATTAATTAACTGAAGACTTTATTATGCATTTGAAATTTTGATAAGGATTTTAAAACAATTCCTAATTATAATATTGAAAATGATCTATAGTATATTATAAAATAATTACAATGTAGAAAACAAATGATATATAAATTTTTTTCATATATTTATAAAAATTATTCAATTTTTAGGATCAATCCAAATTTCTTTCTCAATATTCCTGAATTCAATTCGTTTTTATATTATGCAACAACTTTTAGAAGGATTTTTATAAAATTATTTAAAGTTTCTATCTATAAAAAACTTTTTTTTTTTAAATTAATCTGAAAGTGACTAACTGAATGGCATTATTTAGAAGTGGCATACTTAAATTTTATGTCTTTTAAATCCTCTCATTATATATATTTTAACCTTGCATGTTCAGCAAGAGGTATGAGACCCACTTTTCCTGCTCCCAAGCGCAATTAAGGTTAATTTTACGAGGAAAAAGGTGTTGTGTCTCTCGTGGCCGAGCGAAAACACAGGACGAAATAAATTAGAGGCGCGAATTGTGCTCACAGCAGTCATAACAGGCCGAATTTAGTGCCGTAATCTGAATAAATTCTCGCTTTCGCGGTGACAACGCGCGTGATGGTTTTATTTACGGCCTGCACGCAGTAAATTACCCTGCGCCAACACGGGTAAATAAATAAAGAGGAGCACCACCACCTGCACGCTCAGCTCGACTCGCTCGGTCAGCGTGGAAATCCAAGAAAAATGAGTCTGTCTGACACGGGAGATTTCTTCATTTTGCAAAATAAATTGACCGATTAATTCTGGTCACCTTGCTAGGGGCATGTGAACCTGAAACTACTAAAAAAAATGTTTAAATAAATAATTTTTTTGATTGCTTCAGATTTTGTAGGGTAAATGTCATCTAATAATTTATATATTATCTTTTTATGCTAATAAAATATTTAAAAAAATTTAATTTCACTTTTGAGAACGGCAAGAATTTATATAATTAATAAATATTAATAATTAATTGAGCACAAAATTTAGATCTTGTACAATCTTGTATAGAACAAATAGTATAATTAAAAGTAATATTGGAGCCCAATTTTTTTTTTTAAATTTGAATTTTAATTAAAAAATGTGAAATTAAACTTGTAAAAAATAAAGTAAATAATTTAATAATTTGAATGTATGGGGATTTTTATTGTTGTTTATTTTTAAAAAATTCTAAAATATTGAAAATTAAAAAATCGGGCTTTTCAACGTTGTAAAAATGGTTTTTAATATCAAAATATAGGTCTAATAGTTTCGGTCACAGTCTGCGACCCTATTTTATGGGCAGCCGGAGTTGGTAAAGCCATTTGTTTTTGAATATAAACAATTTTTACAACGAGGAAAAGCCCGATTTCTTCATTTTCATGATCATCTCCTCGAGTGTCAACTTCTTCAAACAAATGTTAAAATATTTCCACATTTTATTATTATTTTTTATTTTAATTTTCTTATAAAAAAGAATTGGTGCAATGATTTTACATTGTAAAGTATACTAAAGAATGTGCGGTGACTGTCTTGAATCAACTTTAGCGATGCTCAGAATCGCTGTTTTGGTGCGTCGAGACCTCGGCTGGTCGCACATTCGCCACCAAATGAAGCTGGGTCGCCACAGCAGGGGCCGCGTTTTTATTGTTTTTGCGTCTGCTTTAGCTCTTTTACAATCGGGCCGTCTGCATGGCATGCACCTCTTCTTCTCCACCGTTCACGTCGTTTTCCTTTCGCGCGCATTAATATAAACGAGCGAAATTTAAATGAGGCGCGCACGCAAATAAAATAAATCACGCGGCGTGCGGGTGAAAAATCGCGATCGGGACGCGCCGTGGGGTGCGACACATTAAATAACGAAACGCACTCTTGTTGCGGCTGCTCTCTCGTCATGCACCGGCCGATATTTCATCCGCATTACCATAACACATCCGCTGGATAATTTGCAAATTTATCACCAGAGAGAGAACGAAAGAGCAGCAAACGAAGCCTTGCTTTCTCGGCGGACGGCAATTACTCTGCTTCTGCTGCAAAAGTAATTAGAATCGGCCACAGGCCTTTTTCACAGACGCGAGGGCCATAAATTAATTTTACACCCTAAAGTCTCACGATGCATTTCTAGGCGCCACAGTTCTTTTGCTCCCATACCTGACTGGCAAATCTCTTATTTTTTTGTTATTGTTAATTGCAGTGACCATGACTAAACAAAAGGGCCTTTAGCTTGTTTTTGCATTTTTAGAAAAAAACTTGCGTTATTTATTCCTGGAAAATATAACTTTTTTAAGTGGTCAGAAATTGTTATTTTTCGAACATCAGAAACACGGAATAAATATCAGAATTTGAAACCCGCGCTTCTCTTTACAGGTGTGAAACTGTGAATGAAAATTGAGTACAATATTTTGGAAATTTACTTTTAGTGTTAATGATAATTGATTTATTTTGTACCCATCTGCATTAAATCGATTCCTCTGTTCCCTTTATCTTTTAATCTGTTGCACTACAAAATCACAAAAAATAAAATTTGCATTAACTTACATTTGAAAAGTTTGTCTGGAACTGGGGTCTGCGACCTTTTGCTGTTTGGCGAAACGAACCAAAAAATATTACAAAGACAATTTATATATTTTTTTTAATTGAATGATAATTTGTAAATATGTGTTAAATATTTCATAGTTTTTGCAATCATTAAAATAAAACTAAACATAATTAATTTCATAATGATTGGAAATCGTGTTCTATTTTAAATTCACTTGAAAATTATCTTGCGCGTGAACCGGAAAGAATATGAGATTTTGGTGACTTCGAAACGCGCTGAATAAGCTGGTGAATCCCCACTCTTGGCACTCTTACGCAGATTCGTTTCGTGGTGCTATATTTAGACTTACAATTAGATAGACTTTAGCGCTTGTTGCTGGGTACTTAAGGCGAGGCTCTTGCAGATAAGCGTGCAATTGTGACTGAGGCGCCTTCGATTACGCTCTTTCGTGTGAATAACTGAGACTTTTGACTTTTACTTCCAACAGTGTAAAAATGTCGCTGCAAATTCTGGACCCAGAGAGTGTCGACTTCGACAAGTCCAAAGTGAACGAAGATCTGAATTTCAAGACAAAGGCTGTGTCTTGGTACACGACGCGAAACGCGTTGAGATGCGACGTCGGATTTTGCGGCCAGGACGATTCTGCTGTCAGGTATCTGCACCTGCCCAAGAGTGGCAGGGTCAACTTCAACTTGAACAGAACCCATCCAGATGATGACTTCAAACTGGACAAGTACACAGAGAATGAGGACATCAGTGACATGCTGTCTTGGGTGCAAGAAATTGGTTCTAATGAGGAGAGGTGGGAAATATTTACATAAGTAAAAATCCCTTATTTAAAATTTTTTTGTGTAGCTTTGATAATGCAGAGTTTATCTGCATTCGGCATGAGCTGGTTGATTTGCTTTTGATGCCGTATGCAACATCAAGGTATGATAATCTAATCTTTATTATCTTTATTTTAATACGTAATTATTTGTCTTTTTTATCATTATTGATTTTTTTCAAATTATAAATTAGGTTTAACAAGGGAGTCAAGCTATACATAACTAAGGCCAAAGGAAAAATTTACATTCGTGGGGCCATTGCTGATGGAGAATTGCAGAGGAAAAACCCAAAAGTCTTGAATGACTTTGAATTGAAAAGGACAAAGCATGGGCTTATGTTTCAGCACTTCACCATTTCTGGTTAGTGTTTTCACTTAAATTACTTAAAAAGTAAAATAAATTATTAGTGACTTAAAATTTATTTTGTCAATTAATTTTTTAGTGACAGAAAACGCATTTTTATTTATTTATTTTTCATTTCGCTATTATTTTGCTGTATTTCAACAGATTCGCCAACCAAGGCTCCGGTTCCAGACAAACCCTACAGACGAGGAGAAAGTACCTTGTATATTGTCTTTGAGGGTGCCGTTGGCGAGCATAAGCTGCTTTACGCTTCCAAGGTAAAAGCTTTGAATGCGCCTGACGACCTGCTGAACCTCGAACAAGCAACATTCACTGATGTCCGAACCAATCTAGGAATGTCATCATCTGAAATCAAATGGTATTTTGACAGACAAAACCGCATTTTAATCAAACTAATTTTTTTTAACTTTGCAGGCGAAAATGGTTTGAGTGGTGGGGCAACTGCATTACTGGGAAAATGGACAAGGTGGCCGTTGGCTTTGTTGGAAAAGGGTCTTTCGTGGGCCAAGTGAAAAATTTTGAAATCATTCCAGCCGACTCCATGATCAAGAAATGCGAGGTAATTTCATTAAATTTTTATTGCCAATTTATTGATCTTTTTTAATTCTCCTTTAATTGAAGGTGGCCCACAAAAAGGATCGATTCAGAACTTCTGAGAGCTCACCAAAGGGCCAGTACTGTATTGATGCTCTTGATAAGGTTCTGTCCTTCTTCAAGTCTGAGCTGAAGGATGCCAAACCTTCGGAGGTGTATGTCTTCAACTTCGACCCATCTCAGTCAAGAGTGGCAAATTTGGAGCGGCTCGGAACTTCCGGAGAAAAGAAAATTTTTGTTATGCCTGATTGGTATGCTAATTGGCTAAAAGTGTAGATTGACCCTTTCTAGTTCATCTTGTAATGCATTAAATATTACTCAACAAATTCCTGTTTTAAATCAAGTTTTACATACTATTGCCTTCAATCTGTAATTAAAATAAAGTCTATTTTTACCATTGAAATAATATGAGTCATTTTTTGATTATATAAATATGAATTATTAATTTTCTAAATATTTTGATGATAGAAATTTCAAATTGAAAGATTGTTTATGACAAGATACGTATTTCTAATATAAATCCACTCATCGGAATATTAATGATCAGATATTTTTTTTTTAACTTGGTTAATGAGATAAATGTGCTATATTATTAAGATCAAATAATTTCATAGACTGCCCTAGCAGCTTGATTTGCTTAGAAAAAATATAAAACAATAATAACTTTCTTTACTTCTTAATATCATACATTAAATCATAATTAATTATTTTATATTTTGTTGTAGCTAAATTGACAGTCTTCATTAATTTTCAAGTGTTATTGGGAGCGTTTCAATTCACGCAAAATTTTGGCACTAGCTGGTACATTTTATTTGCAGTATGCATTATTTGGATAAATGTTTTTCATGCTTAATGGAATATATGTATGTGTACTGTATGTTGTTGTTATAAGTTATTTCTCATGATTATTTTTTAGGAAAAATAGCATACAGAAATTTTTTCCTTCTTTTTCTGATCAATAAATTTATGTGATTAGATAAAAAAAAATCACAATATGAATAAACTTGAAATGAATAATTTTATGAATTTTATAAAACAGACGCTTTAGCTGTATTCATCTCTTAGTAAAAATTATTTATGCACGGTGTTGAATCTCAAATAAAATATTCTACGGTAAAGTTCGTTTTATGCATATTATATCAGTGCAAATTTGAGTTTTCGCATAGTGGCTGGGAAACGCTGACTAAGGCTGGTGTCAAGTGAACCCCCAGTATTCCCACTGAAACAAAGCTCCCCGCATTCACATCTCATGGTTATATTTTTAGACTTGCAATAATAAGTCAGACTTTCCTCTCAATCCGCTCAGTTTCAATAAGCTTTCTGCGCAGAGCACACCCAAGGCTCGGCCCTTGCATCAAAGCGTGCAAATTGCAAATTATCACATCGCATTTCATACTTTTCGTCTTTAATTAAAAAGTGCGAAAATGTCGCTGCAAATTCTGGACCCAGAGAGTGTCGACTACGGCAAGTCCAAAGTGAACGAAGAGCTGGATTTTTTGGTATGTTAAGTGGCTAAATGTGTAGATTGCACATTCAAGATTACTCCTCATTTTCCATAGTTACATTATCTATCCCAACAAATTATTGTTGCGGAAACAACTTTTATATTAATCGCTTCAATATGTATTCCAATTATTCCAAATCAAATCAAATTATTATAATTTTTAATAAATATGTATTTATTCCCCTTTTTAAAAGCTTAAATATTCCAGGAAAGATTTTGCATCAAATAATTTCAATTTAATTTTACTAATTTAAACTATGACCGTAGAAATATGAAATAAAATATAAGTGTCCATACTTCGATTTATTTACACAAATTTGTCAGTTCAATCAGTTCAATATTAAATAATTCAATTCCAAAGTATCTAAACTGATTCCATGATTATAAATTTAAATATATTTTAAATTTTACTAGACTTCTTTGTAAGGACACCAATGATTTTGCTACTGGCAGTTGCCTGCACAATTTTCGCGCCAATATCAACGACTGATCGCCGCCTTCGAGGACGCGCAATTCATTAATCGACACGGCGGCAATCGAACAAATCTGGGCCGGCCGAAGATGCTGGGGCTGATTAGAGAGCGATGCTCGTGTAAGTGAGCAGGCGTGGTTCCGAAATCGAGATTTGCATGAGTTTGAAATTTACATGGCCTTAAAAATAAATAATCGTCAGCAGGTTGTATTGGAGGGAGCGGCGGCGAGACGGGAAATTAATAAACGGACACGATAAATATTAATTAACGAGCGCGCCTTGAGTAATTGTCAGAGCGAGCGCAGGACCATAGACAAAAAAGCAGGGAATTATTATTTTGGAAATGCGGCTCGTATTTCAGCCTCCGTTTTAATGAGCTGCTTGTTTTTCGGCGCTGCCAAAGAAAAAACAACACTTGGTGTTATTTTCAGATTATTAACGCAAACTGATTAATAGTCGTTTAATTTGGTATGCATAAATATGTACACATGTGAACGGCGGCTTCAATCGTAAATATTAATGAGCACCGCGAGACAAAATTGCTTTTTATCCACGATCTGTCTGCGGCGAGTGGCGGGCTCACAGCTCAAACTTACACGGCCGTAATTTGTCTATTAATGATTCGGTGAGCGGGTTAGCCCAGAAAGTGGGTTAAATCGCTCTCGTAAAACTCGCAAATCGAGCTGTAACTCAACTCGAAACCGCTTATTTGCTGTGCAAATATCGGTGAACAGATTTATGACTCTCGCGGTTAAATTAAATATGTAAATTACATCTATAAAATTATTCTGAAACGAGTAATCATAATTTTTCGGATTTCAAGAGCCTAAATTTTAATGCTTGAATAAATATATTTTATTAAAAACAAAATTAGGCTGCACGAGCGTCAGTCTTCATTCGCATTTGTTCCATGAATTATATTCAGAAGGATCAATGGCCGTTAAAAAAAGTGACAAAAATAGTACAAAATATCAACTACATTTTAATCTCTAATTAAAAAAAAGAAAAAAAATACAAAATACAATCAATAAAAAGAAATAAGTACATGCTCCTTTTGTAAATTACCAAATTATTGAAATTTACATTTATAAGCAATTCCAAATATCCTCCAAAGTTTTTTTTTAACTTGAATGAATTGGCGTAATAATAAATAAGCTTTGTCTGCGATAAGTTTTAAAGTAAAAATCCCACATGGAAAACTTATGCAAGAAGAAATTAAAAGTTAAGTGCATTTTATAAATTGTGATCAAAAAGGTTGAGCTCATCTAACCTTTTCCGTCTTCTGCCAAGAACTGCACCCCGCTAATTGCATCTCGTCTCAAACTGCGCGCAAAATATCTGCCAGCACTGAAAGAGCGACTCTGTCTGCATCTCTCGTTGGGGCGCGGACCACACCTTTCATTGTCCCGGTGACGTGTCAATCACAGAGCGAGGTGACGACGATGTCAACACGACTTAATCAAGCGAGGCTGCCTCGACAGCACCTGTATGCAAATCGGGCCGAAAGTCTCATAAATTCGCGGCGAAAAATCATCCACCCTGCAGGGCGCGGCGCGAAAGACTGATTGCCTCCTCGGCTCCACGCTAATATGGAAATCCGCACGCTGGATTTGCATTTTATTTATTTCGGCAGCGCCTAAATCGCGAATAAACTATGATTGATACGCGGTGCGACCGTCAGGGAAGAGATTCGTTTCGTCGTGGGACACACCGTGGAGAATAAATCTCTCCGTTGGTGTGCACCACTGTGTCGCCTTTTTTGATTTCCATAATCGGACACGGCGTGGAATAAGCAAATTTCATTTGTACATTTTCATTTGTTTGAATCTGTGATTAAAATTCAAAATTTTTTTTTAACAAAAGCGGACTAAAACCCTTTAGAATTGCACAAAAATTGTTATGAAAAAATCATCTGTTAAAAAAGTGGAAACTATTATAAAAAATATATTAAATAAATTATAAAATAAATAAATTTTTTTACATTGCTTTTTATATTTTTATAATTACATATATTATAAAATGTTTATATAATAAATTTTAAATTAAAAAAATATTTACATAAAATTGTTAAAAATTCAAAAGATCACATCCGCTGCTGTATTTCAAAGCATGAAGTATAATTTGTTAATTAAATTAAAAAGTTGCAATCAATTAAATAATTTACAAGATTCAACCCTCAAATTACAACGATCGTTTTTATTTAGTGTTAAAGATCCAAAATCTTTATGTTTCACCGCCAAGTAAAAGAGTATTAAAAATATATAAGAGAAACCACAAATGGCTGGCAAAAAGCAATAACGCGATTTCCGTGAATGGAGAAAATGGCAAGAAAGGCTCTTTCAGCAATAATTCACTCTCTCGACCGCGCTTTTGTAAAAAACTGCGATTTTTCTGTGTAATACAAGTTCTTTCTTGTGATTTTTTGCGTCGAGCAGGTGTATTTTTACGATTTTTCATTTAGCACACGCACTCAGTGAGGCGTGCGGTCTCGGAGGATTTCTTTCTTTCTTCTGCCGCGCGCTTAAGAGCGGCTCATTCACAGGGTTTTATTGCACTAAAAGCATTATGGTTTGTTGATCCGTCAATTATCACTTGATTTGCATAGCGCGCTCTCGGATTCGCCGCCGTGAATACTAATGTTCGATAATTCCTACTATCAATATTAAATAAACTACGCAAACACACGCTGATGGAAGGAACAACTTACTTTAATGCCAACCGAATATTATCTGCCGTATTCAAATTGAACGCCGCCGCCAAAATAATTCTACGAATCGAAATGACTTTCTAATCGGTGTCAAAAGGCGTCGCGGCTAAAGAGTTTTCGTGATTAATTCAACGCGTGATAATAGCCGCTCCTCGAAGGAATAAAGTGGCCCGTGTGAAATGCGTGATTGTCTGATTGCAAACACTCTTCACCGAAATGGATTGCTTTTAAAACGTTTTAGCCAACAGTAGGTTTACTGTAAAATGAAGAGAGATCTTTAAGAGATATTATAAAAACATTCAAAATTAAAATTTTAGACAAAAAAGTAATAAATAATAATTTTAAATAGTAAAATTTTATTTTCTTACATAAAAAGTACCATAAAAATATAAATTTAATTAATAATTTGATTTTTTTTATTGCTTTAAAACAATATATTTTTTTCTAAATTTACATTTTTATATATATATTTCTATTTTAAGCAAATATCATAAGTTTATTTTAAATTAATGATATCATTCCAGGCAAAAAATGTTTTAAATTAAATAAATAACGTGCCATCTCTTCAATGAATGACACATTATTTTAGTAATATCTAGATTATAAAATCAATTATGCTCCTCATTTTGGGAGTCAAGTTCCAATTGGCGATACTTGTATGTTGTGGCATATTAATTATTATTAACTGTATAATGAAAAATTGAAAAAGAAAATTTAATATAATTCTGAAAAATAATCGATAGCACTGAATTACTTACAGCACGTTAAACATTCCCTCGGGGCTGTTGCAAAAATAATAAAACCGTCTGGAGAACAGCGAAACAATCCCACAAACAACGAAATGAGATCACCGGGCGATCCCTAATTTATATTTCTCCTGGCCAAGCACACACAAAGCACTCGGCAATTCATAATATTTTGTGTGCGCGGCGATGTATATAGATTTGTCCGCGGAGCGCGTGATTCCTATCTGCCGGGTTATAAAGGCTCGTTTGCAAAACCCACTGGCTGTTCGGAGCACCACCCTGTTTCCATACTTTGGCGATAATGATCGTGAAATAATCAAGCAATGAAGCCATAAAATGCTGGAAAACAGCAGCCTCGGCCCACTGCTCGGCCGGCGTGATGAGTTAATTATTGCGCGCGCTCCTCCGCCTGCTTTTTCTTTCTTTCTCCAGCCAGCCAAGATAATAACATTTCGCCGCTGCAGCACATCAACACACGCCTCCGTTTATGACCTCAAGTAGTCGATGGCCGATCAAATTCGGCCCACAAATCATGCCGGCCGCGCCACTAAATCACTCGATCGCGTTTCCAATTTCGCCAACGTTTTATTGATGGCTTTCGATTATGCAGCCGCGCGCACCGATTTGCTCTTAAAAGCTCTACTTGCTTTTCTTCGGTCGCTTAATTGAATCGCTTTTTAATCGAGATCGGGTTTGGCAGCCGCCGGAGTTTGGTGCGTTCGGCGCCGACGTTTGTGGTCACCAGGCAATTAGAGCAGAAGCTGAGCCGCAGATTGATACGCATTTTAAACAGAGGAATCGGGAGAGGCCCTCATGGTGGTTTGCAATTTCGGAGATCAATCCCACCGTTTTGCACTCGCATCGATGAGCCGCACCGTCCGGTGAACTGAATCTTCAAATTTATTTGGAAAACTGAATCATATCTTCAGAGTTGGTGCAATATATATTAAAAAAATTTCTTATAATGAATTAGAAATTCTAATAAAAGGTGAAATTGAATTGGCAAGAAAAATTATTCCTGCTGAAATTATTTTCCATAATTCTTTAATAAAATATTTCCTCCGCATAAA